TCCTCAGATGTTCTCGAACCTGGACAGTGGGCGGTGGTTCATCCTCACAGTCCCTGCTAGTTCTTTCCACAGCTTGGGTGGTAAGACAAGAGGCTTTATCAGTGAAGACTGAGGCAAAAAATTCATTGAGTACCTCACGCTTCTCTATGTCCCGGGTAACCAGAGCATCAGTATCCTTCCGGAGGGGGCCTACATTCTCTTTGGACTTCCTTTTGTCCCCTACATACCTATAGAAGCTTTTCTTGTTGCTTTTTATATCCCTTGCCAATTTCTATTCCTTCAGGGCTTTAGCCTTCCTTACTTGATCCCTGGTCACTCGTACAGCTTCTCTGTATTCCTCCCAGGCTATCTGTCTCCGCTTCCACCCTCTGTAAGCTAACCTCTTCATTTTCAGTTGGTCCAGGAGCTCCTTGCTCATCCACGCGGGCTTCCTGGTCTTTTTGCCCGACTTGTTCTTCATCGGGATGCACCTCTGCTGAGCTTGGAGGAGGTGCTCCTTGAATGTGGACCAACTTTCCTGGGCCCCTCGTCCCTCCAGGGCCGCCTCCCATGGCACTTTGCCCATCAGGTCCTTGAAGAGGCCGAAGTCCGCCTTCCTGAAGTCTAGGGCACAGAGCTTGCTGAATGGTTTCCTTGCTGCCCCATGGATCTTGAACTCCACCGTGTCGTGGTCACTGCAGCCAAGGCTATCCTTAAGTGTCACATCGCCCACCAGTCCCTCTCTGTTGGTGAGCACAAGGTCGAGCATGGCACCCCTCCTTGTCGGCTCCTCTATCACCTGCAGGAGGAAGTTGTCGTCCACGCATTCCAGGAACCTCCTGGACTGCCTGTGCCCTGCCGTATTGTCTCTCCAACAGATGTCAGGGTGGTTGAAGTCCCCCATGAGGACCAGGGCTTGTGACTGCGAGGCTGCTTCTATTCTGAGTAGCTTGTAGTAACACCTTGAAGGAGGATGATGAGGCTAATGAAGGAGTTAAACGTCTTTTAGCAGGAGGGATGCAAAATGGAGCTCTGCCTTAGCTGTTACATGGGCCAGAAGTTTAGACTCAGGCAGTTCAACACGCACTGTGCAGTGAAAGATTTAGTGCTGTCAGTGTGCCACAAATAATGTGTCTGAGCACCAGTCCTTGCTTAGGACCAGTTGTGTGTTTTTTTATTCCAGTGGTGGCCATTAGACCTAAATCCTTTCTGGCTGTGTGAAAGTTGCTCTGATACCCTTCCACAGCTGCAAGAATATAGCCTTCCAGGAGCCTCTCGAGCTGAGAGTTCACTTTGGAATGAAACATGTTTGAACAAAAGTTGACTGAACACTTTTCAATGTGCAGTAAAGGAACTGCACTTCAATTCATGCAAACACATGGGAGTCCCCACTGAAGGAGACTGTGGTAACACAAAGGAAAAATGTTGGGTTCTTCAGTGGGTTACACTTGGTTAATCTGAATGAGAGTGGATGTCAGTGAGGATAACATGGAGTGCTGATGCATGGGTATGTGTCTACATTAAATAGTCCAAAACACGACCTTTGCCTATGCCAGAAACGCAAATGAAATTATTTTGCTCTTTGCTGCATTCGAAGTCTGTTATGTATCTTGAATACTCTAGGGTGACAAAAACATGTTAAACTCCCCCACCTCAATTCTCTTTTTCAGATAGAATAAATGTGTTCAATTCACATTATGCACATTAAGAATTGGCTTACCCTGTGTCTCCTTCAGTTGCTTTAATAGCACAATATAACACAAAGAAGATTTCTAACGAATTGTAGTGCTGTGTAGAAAGGAGTTGAAAAGCAACACCAAAAGACAAACTGTAACTTACTTTTGTAATCAGTTCCATTGTTTTCTAGCTGTTTTTGTTCCGGGGGTGAGATACAACTTCCACATCTATGGATCTGTGGCTAATAGCGCCTGCTTACTGGAGAAGAAGACTGGTTATCTCAGAGAGCTACGTAAGTTGGCAACGTATTTAGGGTTTGTGTGTTTGCTAAATTCATCTGTCACAAACAGAAGAATTCCACAGCCTTCCTCTTGCAACTAGCTAAAAAATATATTTGCTGTGTTGTTTCTGTATCATCAGTGCAGCGTTTAGAAGTTGTACAGCGATGCACATTGCCCTGCATTGGGGATATCTGAGTACTGCAGTGACCGGGTAGAGTTCACGTTAATTAGAACAGCTAAAGAAAGCCGTAATTAGGAGTCACTGCTTTGTGTATAAAGTGGACTGCAAGAAGGCTCAGTGAAGTTGATAGTTTTTGTGGAGCGCTTTGGCTTTGCCCAGCTTTTAAATGCAAGTACGATAGAAACACTACATGGGAATTTAGACGTTTTTCAAGTGAGAAGATAAACATTCTTGAAGAATAATGGCAAGTTTAACTTGAATTTCCTTTCTTCCAGCTCCTCTGCTTGATCCTATTGTGGAAAAAGTTGAACTGAGTTTCAATGCAGTAACACTGTCTTGGGATTCTTATCCCACAAATGAGTCACAGACTGGTTTTGTAAGAGGCTACCATGTTTATGTATCGCCTGTACAAGAGGAGTGTAGTTTGAAAGGATCCCAAAAACATGTTCTTCCAGGTAACTGAGCTCTGGGATTTGGAAAGTTGTGTCATTGATATAGGTGAAAGGCTTTGTGGCTGTTGCTGATATTGCAGCCTCTTAAAAAGTTCACATTAGGCAGGCAAATTGGCTCATTAGGCAAAATATAGATTTCAACATTTGCTGCTTTTGATTCCTCTCTAATGCTTGGGATGCTAATGGGTGTATACGGATTTGTAGTCCACATCCTATTGTCCGTAGCTCCTTTTAACTTCAGTGTGAGCTCCAGGAAAGATTCTTGCAATTACTGTAGGAGGAGTCAAGTTTCTGCCTCTTGTGATCTGAGTTCTGGATGAATTTTGAAAACATCTGTTTGTGGTCTACTTGGATGAGAGTTACAGGAAACATGTTAGTTTTACTGTAATTTGGGATATTTTAGAAATACATAGGATATGATTTATTTCCTTCAGAACTGGAGCACTGTGTAAATTCACCGTTTAAATTCTTTTGTAGTGAAAGTATTTGTGGCTGTGCTCTACAGTGGAGATCCTTCAGCAGAACTGAGCTGTGGGGTGGAACAAAGCCAAGTTCAAACGTTCATATCCAATCTTCTTGCTCTGCACTCAAAACTGCTTTTATTATAATTTTCAAATGTTTCCAACATGCTGAAGGATACTTTTTTTTTTTTTCTTTGCCTCTTATTCCACTTGGGCTGTGTTCTGTATCAGATCCTTCTGCTGATTAGACTAGCTCAGGCTGAAAAGCTTAGTTTGAACTGAAGGAGACTTATGTAGGAGTTCCGGTCAGAGCTAAACTAACCATAGAAGTACCATAATTCTGCAAGTAATCCCAGTTAGACTTTAAAATGTTTAAATCGAAGATTTCCTGCTTCACAGCTTGACTGAGCTAGCAGACGAGGGGTGTGACTGGGAACATGAAGAATAAGCTAACCCTTTTCTCCTTGGAGTCTGGGAGTTGCACAATAGAGTGCCAGAAGAGGTTTTTTTTTTTCAGGCAGAGATTTCTTACTTTCGATTATCTTCAAAGAACTTGACCTAATCTTAAGGGCTAAAAGATTCTGGTAAAAAAGGAAATGGCACAACCCAAATCATTCTATTAAAAAGCTCTAGTAAAAGGAAATTAAAGTAAACAGTGGCAGCTTTTGACAGCAAGTTATTAGGTGGTCTGCCAGAGCATGAGCAATTCTGTGGACAGTCGAGTTACAGGGTTGTGAGTTCAGCCCAGTGGCAATGAGTCAGGATGCGTCATCCTTCTCAAAAGAAAGTGTGCAAATTACAAAGAAGGTGGGTTGCAAATATTCTTTTATTTCGGTGGTCTGGCAGTCTCAGTTAAGCTGATTTGTAACATTTTGGCAAGACGTTACTGCGACCTTTCAGCAGTTAAAGGGGGCTTGTAAGAAAGATGGAGAGAGATGTTTTACCAGGGCCTGTAGTGATAGGACAAGGGGTAATGGTTTTAAACTAAAAGAGGGTAGATTTAGACTAGATATAAGGAAGACGTTTTTCACAATTAGAGTGGTGAGGCACTGGAACAGGTTGCCCAGAGAATTCATGGGTGCCCCATCCCTGGAAGTGTTCAAGACCAGGTTGGATGAGGCTTTGAGCAGCCTGGTCTAGTGGAAGGTGTTCTGCCCACAGCAGGGAGTTTGGATTAGATGGCCTTTAAGGTCCCTTCCAACTGAAACTGTTCTATGATTCTGTGATTCTATCTTATCTGTTTTATTTTAGATGATTCAGTGCTATGTAAATACACAATTGAAAACCCAGAAGAAAAGAGATTCACCGTGAAACACCTACTGTCAAACACAAAATACAAACTGGTGGTGAAAGCATATACAGGTGGAGGAGAGACTCCCATTGTTAACTTTATGTACATAGATACACCGTTTAACTGTGAGTATTGGCTGTGAAAAATTTCTTTTGTAGCGGAGAAAGGGATGATATAAAAGTTGGAATATTCTTCTCTCAAGGGAAAACATTAATTTAATGTAAAAGGCGCGTGAGAAAGGATCCAACTGAGAAATGGAAAGTGCATACCAACACAGCATTTTGATACTTTTAAGTAGCTATGTTTGGTTTTTTTTAATTTTAGAATGAAAATGATATTACGTGTTTATGTAATTATTGTGTCTTTCTGGGAAATGGCCTAATATATGCACATTTGCGTGACTAGTGAGTCCTGTTTGCTAGAATGCATTGAAGAATTGCATTTGGATTTAAGTAGTTTTCTAATAGGGGAAAAACTACAGACTTGTGTGCAAATAGATAATTTCTGGATGGACTCTTGAACTTCTAATTTTGATTCTTAATCCCATCAGTCTTTAAATCCATTGCCAAGTTAACTCCTTCGTGAGTGAATAAGAAAAGGCTGTTGGCTTGAGCGTTGTGGTTTGCTAACTGGATGGATTTTATCATCAAAGCACAACAGGAAATCACTTGTCTGTAGTTCTGTTCCCTTGAAAATACCACTCGGTAGTCATGGTTGTGAAACTTATGATCCAAATCAGAGATGCCTGGTTTTGAAAAATTTGTTGGGGGTAGAGATGAATGGGGAAGGACAGGAAAGGGTGAAGCATTGACTCATGCAAGGAGACTTCGTTTTTTAGGCTAACTAGCAGAACAGTGTCTGAACCCTCATGGTGCCCTCAAAGAGGCAGTTCTGCCTCTTACACCTGTGTTCCTGCTCCCGTTAGCCAGTCTTCTCTTGTGCAGGCACAGACGTTTGTACAGCCACGCAAGGAGTCAAAGTGGGGGACTGATTAATGCAGAAAAGATAAAAGGGGAATGTAACGCCTGTCCATTCCCTGCTGTGGTGTGTGTTAGGGACACAGAAACTTGCTCTTACAGGCAAGAGGGCAGTTCCAGGGCGAGGGAGAGCAAGCACTAACTAATGCTTCCCCTCAGCCTGCTTGCTACAGCCTCAGCTGTACGTGAAAGGCGTAGCCCAAGGCTGTGTCTTCCAACTAGAAGGAAATACTGAGATTCTTGTATTAGTGTAAATCCTAGGAGAGCATGAACGCTTGTGTAGTGTCTCTCTTGCTATGGTCCACCCATACTGGAGGTACAGGTGTTCTTTCAATTTCTCATGGTAAAAATCTGTCCTTGGAGATCTGAGAGAAAACCTAGAACAAATAGTTAAGTGAAGTTAGAGTTGTCTTAACTTTTGGAAATATACTCTGAAGATGCAAACCTGAGGGCAGATTAAAAGCAATCTGGTAATAATTCAACTGTGGTAAAGAAAATCAAGGTCCAAAGATGTCCGGCTGTATCCCAGAACTTTGCAGCATTAGCCAAACTATCTTGCAACCACAGACCACACAGTTTTACTGCTGAGTTAGAGGCAAGTATCTCACATGGGCTTGATGTTATTTTTGTCCCAGAAAATCAGGCTATATTGACTTTAACAGGTGAGAATTTGAAAACAAATTTTAAAGTATTTTTCTTTCACAGCAAACATGCTGTACCTTCTAGTCCTGGTAGTGATAGTTCCATCACTAGCAGCAGCTATATGCCTCTGGAAAATGAAGTGGTAAGTTATAATGCTTTTTTCTGTTGTAGGCAGATAACATAACTAGCGTAATTCACAAACCACAGCTGCAGCTTGTTGCTTCCAGCTGGTTGTGAGGCCTCATTCACTTTTTCCTTTGGCTGTCCAACTGTGTGGATGTTGTGTTTGGCTTGAGGCATTTCTGAGACACTTACCATCTGCTGCTGTTTCTGTACACATCTGTGTGTGGCTTCTGCTGGTAGAATATGCTTTGGTGAGAGAACATAAATGTCATTTGTTTTGCTCTCTTGTTGCCAGGGTGAAGGAGTGCTGCTGTCCTGTAATACCTACTCCTAACAAGAGCAAAGTACTATCATTCAAAGAGTTTAAGGTAAGATCACTGAAAATCTAGTATTTAAAATTCTTCCATTCTTTAACTGGTAAAGTGTCAGAAAAATGTTTTTTCTTGTGTTGACTGCATTTAAAAATGAGTGATGCTTATTATACAGAAATTAACATACCTTAGTATCATCATGGAGTGAACTCCTTTTGATACTCATGTGACCTTGCAGTGATCAGTTTATATTCTGCAGTCCATTACTGCAAAAAGTGAAAGCATATTTGGAGAATAAATGAAATTTTTTGATACAGTAGGCGACTCTTCCAGTATTACTGTTCCAAACCCAGCACTGCCCGAACACAACAGACCAGAGGATACTGCTCCTTGCTGCAGCCCGTGAACCCTGTCCACGCGCTCCTCCTGCCCCACATGTCCCTCTGCTGTAGGGCACAGCAGAGCCATGCACTTGCTGGCCCCTGGGGGGATACAGGATGCAGGATCCCGGGATGGCTGGGAGGACAAGATTGGCAAAAGGCTCTCAACTTCTTCTGTAGGCCCTTCGAACCGGGAGCTGCTGCTTCCGTGCTGCATGCGATGAGGGTGGCAAAGCTGGGAGCGTGTCTGTACCCTGGCACGCGTGGAGTGGCTGGCAGCCTGCTGCTTGGCACAGAGGGAGGAGCCGGTACAACCGAACAGCCCACACTGCTGCCTTCCAGCTGCTAGTGGTTCAGACTGGAAACTGCACGCATCAAAAAGCTGGCAAAGCCTTTAAAGTAGAGGGACGTGGTTCCTTCTTCAAATGTAGTCGCATTAAACTTACCTAAAACAGAAGTCTCTAAATAAATGCTCTGATAAATTCCACATAAAATACAGCTTTCATTGAACATTCTGTACACGTGGTCTGTTCATTTATTTGAAAAATCCAAACTAAAAAAATTTATAAGACAATATTAGAAGTGCTTGAAGTAATCACTCCCTTAACTTTACTCTGGGTTCTTCAATTGAGTAATTTTTTTTTTTTTTATGATTCTCTTGTAGATCGGTTCTGAGAAAGTATTGAAAATAAGCGACGGCGTTCCCGACGTACTATCAGTGGACTATAAGGCTGAAGCCCAGAAATTACATCCATGGAACCACTTGTCTTCAACACCAACAGCAGATAAGATTGATTGTTATAAGCCTTCCTGGATTTACCCTAATGGAAATGAAGTGAGAGACTCGACACCCACACCTACACCTCAGACTCATACTTGGTTTGAAAATTTTGCTTATTCTTCTCATCTTGCAGTTGAATCCGATCCCTGTCCAATACCAGAGACACTAGAAGCAAGTAAGTCAGAACTGTCGGTAGTGCTGTACCAGCCACACTACTACTTTGATATTTTTAATGAAGATGCTGCTTCAACACCCAGAGAAACAGCTGTCAGAAAGAGCAACCTGAGATACATTTCACAAGCAGATGTGCACTGCCTGGGGAGGAGGCTTTGATGTACTCTCCTCTGTTGAGTCCATCTAGTGTTTGGTTACACAACATAAATAAGACTTTTGAAAACCACAACAACTTCTGCTTTTGATGAAGGCTTTCACAAGCCCAGCCGCCCTACTCGTGTTAGTGCTGCAAAGCTCTTGCTTCAGGACTAGTTTAAAAACACTGACTTGTGCACAGGAGCGATGCATGCTGTTGTTTCATCACAATTTACAGGCACTATATACGACTGACAGGCTGTTTCGTGGCCTGTATTATGTACGTTGGGCCACAGCAGTTTCTCATAGCCTGATGCAGAGAACTGCTGTATCTTGCAGAGATTAAAAGTTTACTCAGAAAGTAGAGGAGCAGGTTAAACACGTAGGTAGGTGGTTGTGCCCAAGGAGGCTATTTCCCTCGCAGTATCCTGTGTGTCCTTATTAGGCACTCTGGCTGCCCTGAGCCAGTGTGTTGTGCAGCCGTGCATGGAGCATTTCCCAGCTTCGGAGTCTGCCTCAGCCCGGTCACATCGGGGTGGGTGGGGTGGGCTGTATTTTCTGTCTCTCAAATGATGTAAGGGATCAACATGGCAGGGCTACCTGCATTCAGTGTGGGGCATTACCGAAAGATTAGCAGCAACTTTGACTTCTGTAGGAGCGCGGCCCGGTGTGCCAAAAGCCGGTGATGATCCTGCTTTTACTTCGCCTGCCTATGGACTACACAAGGTGGGTGAAGGAGTACAGAAGACAGATTTTTATAGTACAGGCACCCGGTAGTAGGCTGCCGCTCCCACTTCTGGTAACTGGGGCTCCTCACACTTCTGCCTTCTCTGCCTGGAAGAACGATCCTTTACAGCCCTAAACAAAATCCTCTTAACTAAACAAAGAAACGTTTGCAGAGGTGTTGCCATGGCACCGTCTCTCTGCCTGTGAACAGGAACTTAACTTCTTCTGGCATTAACCCCTGCACTTAGGTAGCAAGCCCCAACCAACCAGCTAGGCAGACAGGGTAGTCAGACACATGAGCATTGAATCCCATTTGTGAAGAACATCACATTCAGGCTGCCTATCAGCTAGACCTTCCGCCACTACTTTTGCGTGTATTAAAAAAAAAATAAAAATTTTATCGTAACACTGAGACTCCCTACAGTAGGCAGCAGTCAATACGGTCTTCCATTTTGATTTTAAAACATTGTACATTTGTATGAAGCAGAATATTTGGAATTACACCTGATTAACCTCCTTAGTGCACAAGGAACCCTTTTATTTCACCTATTTATGATGCTGTCTGGAATCTTTCACAAATAAAAGAATCCAGCTTAAAAGCACAGAATAAGCAGTTCTCGGAAAGGAATGCAGTGCATTTTTACCATTTAATCTTCAGCTAATTTGTTAAAATGCAGTTACTTGTCTTCTCCAGGATTCAACTAGCTAATCACACTTCCTAAAAGCTATGCAGCAGCAGAAATGGTTCTGATACTGAACCACATCTAGGTTTTATCCTGTCGGTTATAGATCCTGTTGTCATGTCCACGAGGTGTGTTGCACCAGGAAAATCAACAAGAGTTTACGCAGACTTTGGGTGAGACAAGCATTGTCTATGCCCAGGGAGAAGTCTGGCAGGCAGAGGTGAGGTACACGCACACAGATAGCCAGTTGGGGTTGGAGGTATCCGGTCAACGCACACTGCTGTGTCCACATGTAGGTCACACACAGATTTACCAGATGAGTAGGGGAAAAAAAACAAACAGGCAGTAAGTACAGTTCTTCCTTTCAGCCTGCAGCCTGTGGCGTAAGGAAACATGGCTGGTCACTTTATCTGAATGGCAGTTTGACAGAGAACAGGACATTAAGAGAAGGAGCTGGTGCTATTCGATGGAGACATCCCAGAGAAACTTTTCCTCCCTTTATGTTGGTCTCCTTTGAGGTACAGAGAATTTGAAAGTTTGGCACCACAGTGTCTTTACTCCATTTCCTTCTGCAACGTGTTTCATTGCATCATCCGTACCTGTGTAGTTTAAAAGCTCAAAGGTGAACAAACGGAAGCAGGATGTTATGCCACTGAAAAAAAGCTTCTTAGCTGTGCATTTCAAAAAAAAAAAAGGCCTGTTTTTTAAAAAGGTTTCTAGAGTTACATATCTAAGGCATTCTGATACATAAGTCAGTCAAAAAAGTCAGACTATCCAACGAAACATTTCAAATTTCAGAATGCTGCACTTCCTCATGCCAGAGGACAGCTGCAACAAAGCACAAATTCCTGCTTTTGGAAAAGCTGCTCTCACTGGGGCTTGCCTGCAGTAATTCAGCCCAGGAGGTGAGCGGAGGCGGGGGTGGCTGGAGGCCATGTAGCTGGTTGTGCCTTCCTGACAGTGGGGTGAGACATGTTGGCCTGTTGAGTTCTCACCTCAGCTCCCTTGGTCTTTCCCAGGGAGATCCTCCACTGATGAAACTTCATGATCTGGGAGTAAGGGAACAGTTTAGCAGGTACCAGGTTTCTTGGTGAGGTGATGAGAAATTTAGCTCCTCCCTATGGATAAAACTTTCTGCCTGCTGACCCCGGTGGGTGGTGTTTCATGAGACCACCTGTGCTTACGAGCACACAAACAGGATTCCAAGGAGGATAATGCCTTTGTGCCAGCCAGAGGTAACAGTCTAGGCACCAGGACTAGAAATAAACATAAGAGATGTATTTTTGCATGAGTGGGGAGGTATGTATAATTTTTGTATTTTAAGACATCTGTCTTGCATTAACGGTTGAATGAGTTCAAAACTCTAAACTTCTGTCATATTTTTCTGTTTATAATTCAACTTTCACAGCTGTTGTTGAAATGCTAATACTTAAGCCATCATATAATGGAAAGTTATTAATTCTCAGTATCAGTGTGCTAAATTTTAAAAATAAAAATAGTGTACAAACTATTAAAAAGTCCTCTTCTATTTTTATAAGACATCTTACAAAGCATTAATGGAAAATGTATTTTTGACAAAAAATGTTTATTTGGAAAGCTTCAGGTCGTTCTAGTTAATTAGTAACTCACAAATAGAAATAAAATTCCAACCCATTCCTAGTGCTGAGAGGTACATATGAGACCAGAACAACTGTGAGAAGTTTAAGTACATTTTTATTAACAATGCATCCCTTTGATAAGATTATGCCTCAGGAGGCTTTTAATGCCCATTGACATGAACTGTACACACTATACAAAAAAAATCCCAAAACAAAACAAAACAAAAAAAATCAAGGTGGGCAATACCATTTTGGGACAAGCCTCTGTTTAAATTATACACAGCTCAATGCAATATTCTTACGGAAAATATATAAATACTTTTTCTTTCTATGTTACAGGTATACAATATAAATCAGATTTCAATGTCTGTTCAGTGACCTACAAACTAGAACCTCCAAATATGTAGCAGCGTATTACTAAATAAAAAAAGACCACATGGGACAGGGAGAATAAGTCTCGAGATTTTCCTTGATCCCTTCCCTCCTCAGAAGGATTAATTTAGATAATCTCTTGTAATGCAGTTTTAGGGATGCTGACAGCCCAGTATTGGAACAATTTTTCAATTAAATCTACAAAATGTCTGCCTTTCCCCCCCTTTAGACATTGCATCTTGTGCTAAAACACCCTATTCAGTGGCAAAATGGCATGTTACACTTTTTGGCATAAATTACTTTTCTCAAATAAAATAGTGTATTTTACAAAGCAACTCAAGCAAGATGTGCAATTTCTGCATGCTGTGGCATTTCTGTCCACCTATGTTACAGAAACAGTCCAAAGAAAATCCACATTCGTTACTGAACATACAAATCCATTGAAAACAAAACTATCCAGGGAACCAGAATCAGGAGCTAAAAACAAAAAACAAGGAGATGGGGGGCATCTAGTGAAATACAAACATGGTTTCTAGCATGTTCCTAAAGGTCTTTTACGGTTCTCAGATTTTACTCTCACCTAGTATACCTTTAATAAGCACAAGATAATAGAAGAGTAACTTGAAAAAAAAAGTTACAGGACCTGCTTTCAACTGGCTCCACTGAAGCTCCGAGTAACAGGGCTTCTATGCAGCAGGGAGAAGCCTCAGGGATGCCCCGAAGCCCGGCAAGAATTCTTCCACTGCGACTGCTCAGCTTGAGCTCGTGTGTGCTTACAAGGTAACACCAGCTTCCTGCAGTCCAAAAAGCCAAACACCAAGTCCAGGACGTAGACCAAGAAGAAGCAACAACTCTTTCATCTCCCACGGGGCTTTGATTATTGCCTCAATATTGCCTTTGATTATTTCCCAAACAGCGGCGTTTCTCTTCAGGCACCTCGTAAAGGTGCTGCAGGTTTTTTCAGCCTCTCCCTGCAAATTACAACTCCCATTCAAGACCACTACGTACGTTTCAAAATAAAACGACAAAAAGACGAGCAGGATTCTCACCACGGCTGCCTTTAGGTGTTAGTAAGGCCAGCTTTCCCCAGCACACCAAGCCGCTGCACCCTGAACTACCAAACACTACAGCACTTCGTTGTGTCTTGGGAAAACACGACGGCAAACCCAAGGAGAGCACGTCTAGGGTACGCACGTCAGGTCACATGAGAACACTTAGACACCTGAGGAAAAGCGACTGTTTCAAACACAACATTTCAAGGGCCCAACATACAAGTTCTGCACCTCAAAGCCTGACCCTCTCCAGCTCCAAGTGATGTCCGTGACAGCTGGGAGCATTCAGCATCTCCGGAATTTCAGACAGCTGAAAAGGTCTCTCTCTCCAAAAGGACACTTCCAGCACCCAGCTCTGTCCCCCTCCCCGCTCGGTGGAGAGAAACAGGCCCTGGGGAAGGAACTGGGAGCCCTTTAGTCATCCCTCCACCCGATGGAAAGGACTGTCCCTTTCCACTGGCTGTTAAAAGGAGACTAAGAAGATTAGCTAGCTACTGCAGCAGACCCAGCGCGATGGGTTTCACAGCCAGCCTCTCCTTCCCACAAAGGCTCTTGCCTCAGAGCTCAGTGTTTTGCGTTGGCGTGTTGAATCA